CCCGCCCCAGAGTCCTCCTGAATGACAGTGTGAGGGGCTGACTTCCCTGAGTGGGAGCCCCTGTGAAAGATGGGGGCCAAGGTGAGGATTGGGTGCAGAAGGCAGGGACAGTCCTAAGTCCATGCTGAGCCTGGCAGGAGTTCAGGCCTTGAACCTGTCTCCCAAGTGACCCCGCAGGGCCTCAGTCTCTATAGTGTGTGTGTGGCTGGGGGTGCAGGGGTGGTGGTGCCTGCTGTGCCTTCCCCTGCCACCTGGGACTGGGCTGCACAGGAGGGCGGGTCAGGCTGTGGACACTTGACCCGACAGTCCGCAGGGTTGGAGGAGGCTGGGAAGGTTGGGGAAGAGTGGCAGCATTTTCCCAAGTTGGCATCCCAGCTTCCGTCCTCCCGCTGGCCTCCTCCACGCCTGGCCTGGCTTCTCCAGCAGGTGGCAGCGTTGGCCCACGCTCAGCCTCACGCCGCCCCACTTGCAGCCTAGCTCAGCTCAGGCTCCTTGCCTTCCTCTCTGCCAGGGGCGGGGGGTTCTAGCTCCGGCCATTGCTCCTGGTCTCTGTGCAGGCTCCATTCTACCCCTGCATGCATATAGCAGGACCCCAGGTGCCAGGTGATCATAGAATGGAGCTTGGTGGCTTAGGAGTTATGTGTGGGACTACTAACCTCTAGCCGCTCCCCTGGGAAAGACGGGCTTTCTGCTCCCGTGAAGAGTGACAGTCTCAGAAACCCACAGGGGCAGTACTACCCTGTCTAGAGGGTCGCTATGAGCCAGCATGACTCGATGGCTGTGCGGGAGTTTCCCAAAGACCTTCCGTGCCTCACCTCCTGGGACCCTGCCGCCCCCTCCTGGCCAGGGGTTCTTATTCTTTCCCAGTTGTCTTTCCCAGCGAGGTACACAGAGAAGCCGGAAGTCCAAGCTCTGAGGAGAGGGGCGCTGAGAGTGTCCGGAGGAACAGGTTGCTGTCCCTCTGCCCACTCCCCTGGTCCTGCCCCCACTCACCTGGCTCGCCCTTTTGCCCTGGCAGCCCATCATGGCCGTCCTTTCCCGGGGTCCCCGGCAGGCCTGGCATCCCTGGGATCCCGTAGCAGCTTGTGCTGGCCAGGCCCCCACGTGACAGTCCCAGCAGGAGCAGCAGCAGCTTTAGGCTGAAGGGGGCCTGGGAGCTGGGCCCCATGTCCATCCCAGGGAAGGAGCTGGGTGGAGGGAGAAGCCAGTTGGGAGTTGCCCCATACCCCTGCAGCCCTTCACCCTTCTGCCTCATCCCAGCTCCAGAGGTCCCCTCCCCACTCCCCTCCCCAGGAGCCACAGTGGGTGGGGGGCCTTCTTTGAGCCCAGGTCCCAGGCCCAGCAGGGGGTGGGCATCGTCCTTTCTCTGACGCTCCAGTCAGTCTTCTGGGGGGCTACATTTCAGGGAGGGGGCGCCGGGCCAGAACAGCCCTCCCCTCTCACCTGGTCAAGGGCCCCTGCTCACCTGGAGGTGCAGGCTTCTGGCCCGGTCACAGAGATGTCTTCAGATCGCCTTCACCTCTCCCAGCTGGACGCCGCTCGCCTTGGAGTGGACCCAGCCCCTCTCCCCCACTCCCCTGCCCCAGCCCCACATCCCCTTTCCCATTTTTCCTGACTCGACACTTCCCCTCTGGGTGCTGAGCCAGACTGACCACAGCCCCCCCGCCCGATCATGAGGGTGTGGAATGAGGAAATGTTCCCACACTGCCATCTGGTTAAGGGTGGGTGTGAGTGTCCTGGGCCGAAGCCCATGCCATACCCACTTCTGTTTGTTGGTGTTTACTAAGTCTGAGACACTGCAGGGGGAAGTGGTGGTCTGCCTCCTCGACAGATGAGGAAACCGAGATCGGGGAAGCAAACGCCCCTGGCCAACATCACCTCGTGAGCAGTCCATGGGGCCCAAGGCCATGCCGTGACCCCTCTGCTCAGCACCCCCAGGACCAAGCCTTACATGCATTTGTCAGCTGGCTGCCTCTTGTAGGCCCTCCCCTTGAGGGTGGAC